CTGTCCGTCACCAATTGTTTCTGCCCATTTAGCAGGGGTCCTATTCCTCCCTGGGCCTTCCTTTTACTCCCTATATATCTAAAAAACAATTTCTTGTTGTCCTTTACTTGGGATGCCATCCTCAGCTCCATGGTAGCTTTGGCCCATCTAACTGCCTCCCTACAAGCGCGAGCAGAGGAGTTATATTCATCTTTGGTGATCTCTCCCTGTTTCCACTTTTTATGTGCTCCCCTTTTGGCCCTTAGGCTGCCCTGGATTTCTCTGGTCAGCCAAGGAAGCCTCCTGGCCCCTTTCCCTCTTTTTCCTCGCATCGGGATCGTCTTGCTTTGTGCTCGAAGGATCATTTCCTTAAGGCACAGCCACCCTTCTTGGGCTCCCATCACTTCAGTTCCTTCAGTCTCTTCTAAGAAGTCATGTGTCCCAGCCCCCTCACCATTTTCATTGGCCCCCTGGATACTCTCCAGTTTGACCACAACCTTTTTGTAGGTGACCAAAACTGGCCTCAGTGCTCCTGCTAATGCAGCCCAGTGTGCCATTAGCTTTTTTATACTCAGCTTATTGTCACTGTAACCCCTGGGTCCTTTTCTGCAGAGCTGCTACTTAGCTATTCAGTCCCCAGCCTGTACCCTGCATAGGGTTGTTCCGTCCTACGTGCAGGACTTCGCACTTGTCCTTATTGAGCCCCATGAGATTTCTACCCTCCAGGGTATCTACTACTCCCCCCAGCTTGGTGTCATCTGCAAACATGCTGAGGATGTACTCCAACCCATCTTCCAGATCACTGATGAAGGTATTGAATAAAAACAGCCCCAGAACCGACCCTTGAAGCGCTCAATTTAATATTGACTGCCAACGAGACATCAAGCCAGCGATTACTACCCTTTGAGGCTGACGATCCAGCCACTTTGTTCTATCCACCTTACACCATTCGTGAAACCTGTATTTCCTTAGTTTGCTTGCAAGAGTGTTGTGAGAGACCATATCAAAAGCCTTGCTAAAGTCAAGATGCATCGCATCAACTGCTTTTCCTGCATCCATGAACCCAGTCTGTCATCATAGAAGGCAATCAGGTTGGCCAGGCAAGACTTGCCGTTGGTGAATCCATGCTGACTATTCCTAATCACCCTTTTCTCCAAGTGCTTAGAAATGGATTCCTTGAGGATCTGCTCCATGACTCTTCTAGGGACTGAGGTGAGGCTCACCAATCTGTAGTTCCCCAGATCCTCCTCCTTCCCTTTCTTCAAGATGGGCACTAGATTTGTCCTTTTCCTATCTTCCAGGACATTTCCTGGCCACCATGAGTTTTCAAAGAAAATGGCCAGTGACTCTGCAACCACATTTCTCAATTCTCTCAGCCCCCTTGGGGACATCACATCCAGTCCCATGGGCTTGTACATGTCCAGCTTTCTAAACAGTCCCTAACATGTTATTTTGCCACCATCAGCTGGTCATCTTTTCCCTAAAGTGTGCTGCCAGGCACAGTGTCTGGGAGCTGACTTTGCCTGTGAAGACTGAGCTAAGGCACTGAGTATGTCAGCCTTTTCCACATCATCTGTCACTAAATCTTCCTCTTGTTGCTGACTTACTTGTAGAAACCCTTCTTGTTGTTCTTCCCTTGCTAGCTACACCTGCAGTTACACTTTGGCCTTTGATATTTCATCCCTGCATGCCCAAATAATACTCTTATACTTCTCCCTAGTCGTTTGTCAAAATTTCCACTTCTTGCAAGCTTTTTTTTTTTTTCATGTGTTACCAGATTGAGGAGTTCCCTGCTAAGCTAAACTGGTCTCCTGCCCTATTTGCTAGTCTTCCTCCCTTATATAAATGATATATATATATATTACTTTTATTGACCTTTGCAGGGAGATAATGTCAAGCTTAACATATTCTGACTAATATAGTTTACTGATTACGTCTGATGTCAGTCTTTCCTTAATTTTCTATGGGAATTAAGGTCAAGATGTTATTCTGTAATTGTTACAGTTATCCATTCCTTCCCTTTTGGTGCCCATTTCTTCTCTTTTTGTGCCCTAATCAAGTTATGGCAGCTGTCCAGTCCCCAGTGTTTTAAGAGTGAAAGGTAAACTGGAGTACTTTATCCACAGGTTCTTTTACTTACTGCGTAGTAAGAGCAGGCATGGCAGAACTGTAAACTTTGTGGGGTTGGGAGTTTGAATATTGATTTCCCCTTCCATTTGTGTTCATCACATGCTCCTGTTTCTTGACTTCTTTTGCCACACTTCTTAATTTGGTATGAAGAGGATTCTTGTTTATGTGGCTGTTAATAAATTCTGTTGTTGACCCCATTTGGCCTGCTCCCCACCATGTGACAATATCCCTTTGTGGGTGTTCCTAGTCGAGCCATCCAGTGAGCCTGGCTCTGTATATGTACCTCAGAAGGAGGAATCTTTCCCTCCCATATAAATCAACTAAGAATCTAAGAATTATCATGGAGCATCTAGCTCTTACTACAGTATGCACATGCAGGAAAACTTTAATTGAATCATGAGAATAAAAGCAGGTATTGTTTTTTATTTCTTTGCAGGCAGTATGGGCTCTTGGCAATATTGCTGGAGACAGCACCATGTGTAGAGATTATGTGCTGGACTGCAACATCCTACCCCCTTTACTGCAGTAAGTATGTTTTGAGAAGGGTAGTCTCTGTTTTGCTGAAGTCTGATGAAACTGAAACTGAACTCCGGGATAGCCAGACATGTCAAAACAGTGTGTGTTATGTGAAACTGAGTCACAAATTCAGCACAGATGAGAGCTACTGCTTATACCTTATATGACCTTATATGACAGCCTAATAAGCAGAACTTATTTATCACTGACAGTGGAATGGGTATATTCACTTTTAATTGTCTCTTACTGCTGTGTAGGAAAGTTCTATGTAAGCACTTCCCCAGCAGCACAAACAGCACAGATCAGGTTCTTCTCATCCTGTATTCACAATGCTGGTTTCCCGATTTGTTGTTAGCGGGGTTTGTATATGAGGAGAAACTACTGAAGGAAAGATATGTCAGAGGTGAGTCTGTATTTGGTTCTGAAAGTAGTGAAGTCTGTGGCCAGTTTTCTCTGTGAAAGTGAGTTCTGGGCAGTAGATCCAGCTCCTGTGAAAGTTCTGTGCTTGTGGAGTTTTCTGTACTGGTCATTATTTTGGAATGTAGCTGTTCTGAGAGCATGGGTTCAGAGGGTGTGTAGTTGATGAAGGACTTTGATATCAGGAGTGAGAGCTGAAACTAAATTCTCAATTCAGTGGACAGCTAGCACACAGAATGGCACTTTGAGGAAATGTGTTTTTTTGCTCAATACAGGGAGGTGTACTGTGTATCAGCTGGAAATTTTCAGAGTTTGTTGCTTCATTCTTACTTTGTTCTTAATTTTTACATAGTGTTGAATATTTAGAGGCGGGGGAGCCCTTCTGTGTCTGATAGCAAAGTCACTTTTACCCTAAAGTGTGAATATTCCTCAATGTGCTCTTGCTTCCCTGTCTCTCTAGACTCTGCTTCTCTTGGCTAAACTGTATTTTGTCATGAGCAAAATGAGAGTTCCTACATTGGCTTTCATGAGAGTATTGGTATTTAACATGAGTAAAGCTAAGGGCCTAGACTAGGGGTGGGCAGTTATTTGGGCCTGAGGGCCACAATGGGGAGCTTTGAGCTGTTGTGGGCTGGGTCAGCACCTCCCCACCTGCAGCAACTCACCAAAACTCCTTATGGGGGGCTGTGGTGGGGGTAGGGAACAGTGTTCAGGAACAGAAGGGGCAAGTGAGGTTGGAATCATGAGGCCAGATCCCTGGGTGGTGACCACTCCAGGCCAGGCCCTGGGACCTACTCCCTATGTGACCCTACCCTCTGGGAAGGGGTGTGGGAGAGGGTGTTGCCTGGATGCTAGGTCCTGGGAGTCTGCCATGGATGGAGGGGAGATAAGGAGCAGTAGGCGCTTCTGGAGGCAGGGGAAGCAGAACAGCACCCGGCTGCAGCCAAACTGAAAGCTGCATGTGCTGGCTAGGGCTGGGGTTGGGACTAGGCCATGAACGCCAACAGAAGCCAGGCAGGGCTTAGCCCTATGCCAAGTGCCACGGGGGCAGCTGCAGGCCAGATCCAGTCACTTGGTGGGCCAGATTCAGCCCGCTGGCCATACTTTGCCCACCCTTGGCCTAGATAGATTACACAGTTAAACTTCTGTAACATAATTGATTTTGTACTCAAGCATCTTATACCAGGACAGTAAGCACTCAAGGAACTGATTGGCATGATCCCCTGGGAGGCCAGTTTGAGGGGGAGAGGAGAAGTGTAGCAGAACTGGTTGTACTTTAAAGAAATCTTACTGAGGGGGCAGGAACCAATCATCCTGATGTGCAGGACAATTAGCAAGTATGGCAAGGAACTCTTCAGTGAGCTAAAACACAAAAAGGAAGTTTACAAGTAGTAGAAACTTAGACAAACTACCAGGGAGGAGTACAAGCTTATTTCTCGGGCATGCAGGGATGAAATATCAGGAAGGTCAAAACGCAATTAGAGTTGTAGTTAGAAAGGGACATGAAGAATAACAAGAAGGGTTTCTACAAGTATGTCAGCAACAAAAGGAAGATCAAGGAACGTGTGAGTCCTTACTGAATGGGGGAGACAACCTAGGGCATCCAGAGACATGCTCCCTGAGGCACGGCTGGCACTTTAATTAAATGCAGTTCTGAGAGCAGTGCTAATTAAAAGTCCCTGAAGCGTCACATGTATTAGCGTTCCTGTGCTGAAAAATGGCCGAACGAGCTTTAGTTCAAAACACCCTGCTGCCATTTTTCAGTGCAGGGACACCAGGGGACCTGGTGACAGTCTATAAACTCACTAGAGGGGACCAGAAGGGGTTGGGGGAGACCTTGTTTCCCCTAGCGCCCCCGGGATAACAAGGAATAACGGCCACAAGTTGTTGGAGAGTAGGTTTAGATTAGACATCCGTAAGAACTGCTTCACAGTTAGGGCAGCTAGGATCTGGAACCAACTTCCAAGGGAAGTGGTGCTGGCTCCTACCCTGGGGGTCTTTAAGAGGAGGCTTGATGCCTACCTGGCTGGGGTCATTTGAGCCCAGTTTTCCTCCTGCCCAGGCAGGGGGTCGGACTTGAAGATCTACAAGGTCCCTTCCGACCCTACTTCTATGATTCTACGATACTCGTGATGTTGGAGTCTGCTGGAGTGTAGTAATTTCTATGTGCCAGCAGACTCAGTTGATTACAGTGCATCAGAGCAGCCACCCTGCATGTGTATAGGAGCCCCTAGTGACAGATGATAAGGAAAAGGCTGAAGTACTCAATGTTTTTTTTACCTCAATCTTCACAGGCAAAGTTAGATCCCAGACTGCTGCACCTGGCAGCACAGTTTGGGGAGGAGGTGAGCAGCTGACAGTGGTGAAAGAACTTGTTAGGGACGGTTTAGAAAGCTGGACATGTACAAGACCATGGGGCCAGACACAATGCACCCAAGGGTGCTGAGACAGTTGGAGATATGATTGCAGAGCTGCTGGCCATTATCTTTGAAAACTCACAGTGATCAGGAAAGGTCCTGGAGAATTAGAAAAGGGCAAATCCTAGTGCCCATCTTGGAAGGAAGAGGATCTGGGGAGCTACAGACTGGTCAGCCTCACCTCAGTCCCTGGAAAAATGGAGCAGGTTCTCAAGGTATCCATTTCTAAGCACTTGGAGGAGAACAGGGTCATTAGGAATGGTCAGCATTGATTCACCAAGGGCAACTCATGCCTGACTTACCTGATTGCCTTCCATGATGAGAAACTGGGTCCATGGATGCAGGGAAAGCAGTGGATGTGATGCACATTGACTTTAGCAAGGCTTTTGATACGGTCTCCCACAACACTCTTGCAGGCAAGCTAAAGAAATATAGCTTTTATGAATGGACTGTGAAATGGATAGAAAAGTGGCTGGATTGTTGGTCTCAAAGGGTAGTAATCACTGACTCAATGTCTAATTGACAGCTGGTATCAAATTGAGTGCCTCAAGGGTCAGTCTGGCTCTGGTTTTGTTCAATACCTTCATCAGTGATCTGGAAGATGGGTTGCAGTGCCTCCTCAGCATGTTCGCAGATGACACCAAGCTGGGGGGAGTAGTAGATATGCTGGAGGGTAGGGTTAGGATTCAGAGAGACCTCGACAAATTGGACAACGGATCGAAAGAAATCTCATGAGGCTCAGTAAGGACAAATGCGAAGTCCTGCTTGTAGGACAGCATAACCTTATGCACCGGTACAGGCTGGGGTCTGAATGGCTAAGCAGCAGCTCTGCAGAAAAGGACCTGGGCATTACAGTGGACAGTAAGCTGAATATGAGCACAACAGTGTGGCCTTGTTGCAGAAGGCTAATGGCACACTGGGCTGCATTAGCAGGAGCACTGCCAGCAGATCAAAGGAAGTGATTATTCCCTTGTGTTTGGCACTGGTGAGGGTGCACCTGGAGTACTGTGCCCAGTTTTGGGCCCCCCACTATAGAAAGGATATGGACAAATTGAAGAGAATCCAGGGGGAAATGAAAATAGGGGACTGGGACACATGGCTTCTAAAGAGAGACTGAACAGAACTGGGCTTATTTAGTCTGGAGAAGAGAAGACTGATTTAATTGCAGCCTTCAACTGCCTGAAGGGTGGTTGCAAAAAGGACTGTTCTGAGTGGTGACAGATGAGAGAACAAGGAGCAATGGTCTCAAGTTGCAGCAAGGGAAGTTTGGGTTAGATATTGGGAAAAACTCTCATGAGGAGGGTAGTAAAGCACTGGAGCAGGCTACCCAGGCAAGTTTTGGAATCTCCATCCTTGGAGGTTTTTGAGACCTGGCTAGACAAATCCTTGGCTGGGATGCCATAATTGAGGATTGTCCTGCTTTGAACAGGGGGTTGGACTAGATGTGACTTCCTGAGGTCCCTTCCAACCCTAATTCTCTTTGAGTCTATTATTACAGTGACTAAGCTACAGACAGAGAACACCTATACTAATGTGTTGGTGTAGTTAAACCCCATGAGTCTGTTAGGGATTTGTTTACGTTTTCATTTTTTTTCACTGGTATAAATGTGTTGCCTGTTCAGACTACTAAGCCATTCAGATTTACACCTGTGCTATCTTAGGAACTGCCCAAGTGGGTCTTGGATTCTGTCAGGACTTACGCTTTGATCTAAGAAATATTATCTTGGCAAGATTAGCACTTCTTCCACGAGGACTCGTGTGATCAGCTTGGGTAGTATTCTTTTATTAGATGCATATGGAACAGCAGCACAGTCTTTATCTCACTTTTACTGATACAAACCTTCACGCTTTATCAGGTAGGACATAAGCATAATTTGCCTCCTGCTCTGAGCTAGATTCATTGTAGGCCATGATATGACTGGCATGTTGTATACAGCAATGGCAGCTCCAGCCTGGGGCATGTGGCAGCTGCAGCTCTGGCCCTAGCACCCATGGTGGGACTTGTGGTGGCAGTGCCTACAGGCCAAGCTCCTGTAAGGCAACTGGGGCTGTATCAGACCTTGTTTGCCTTGCTACCATCAAGAGCCATGTACAGTAAGTGTTTTCAGACATCTAGGTTCATTCTTTTATAAGTGCTAGAATGCAAAGTTCTGTGAATGCTTAGGATTACAGCTGTGGCTAAACATTTAGGTGGCACTTTGAACTGCACATTAGAGAAAAGGTCATAAACTCCAACTAAAGGTAACTAGCCCATCCAAATCCTTTTTGGAATCCAAACCGCAGGAATAAAATCTGGGGATTCACTTGATGTAGAGCAACTCTTGTTGAATTATACTGTAACCATGTTTTTCCAAGATCTGTTGTCCACAGAGATTCCACAGCAACGCCCTCCAATCCTGTTCATCAGAGTTTTGTTCCTATATGGGATTCTTATTGGCAAAGGAATAGAGCACAGGTAGTGCTTTATGCTCTTGATGATGGGGAGAAGGATGGCATTGGGGTGTCAGGGCAGTGTCAATTGTTTTTTTAAAAGGATCTGAATTTTAAAGGATTGGAATACCTTCGTAACACCCAGACTGGTATCTGTGTAGACAGCTCATCTAACCACCGCAGTTACGTAAAATAAGTAAATGTTTTTTTAATATTAGATGAAACCTAGAATTAGGTACACATGCTTTGGGTTCTGCAATGGAAATACTTCATTCTTCCCCATCAGCTGCCATTGCACAAAAGGATTTTTTGTTGCAATGAATAATGCTGATAAACAGCAGGGGCTTGCTCAGTGAAAAGACGTACTGCTTCGGACTAGGCTGGGGACATTCAGGAAGTTCTGTTATTTGTCAGTAATCATTTTATAGATCTCGTTGCCTTTTGTGAACCTAATGCTTGCTCAAGCTCTATCAGAGATCTAATTTTAATGAAATTGTGCAGCCAAGAAAGGAGCTTCGTAGTATGTTACTTTCACAGAGACTGGGCTCACTATTTGAGTCTCCAGCTGATTCAGCAATGGAGCACTTGAGCCTGGAGAACTTTCTTTCATAAAGAAAGCATCTTTGATATAACTTCTGGGCCTCATTTAAAGGTCCTGTTCTCTAAAACAGTTCAGCCAGGTTGTGAGCAAAGCTCCTGAACTGACTGAACGGTTCCATAGAAATCCTGATATCTATCAAAATAAGTTACTTGGTCAAACTCATTGCAAGTGCTTCTGGACTAGTAAAATCCAGTAATAGATTGAAGGCAGAAGTTGTCTTTGAAGGCAGAAGTTGTCAACCATTGATTACTATTTAACTAGTGATTTATTTTGGTGTAATCTTTCTAACCTATTTTCCATAGACTTAAGTTGGAAGAACTTTAGACCCTGTGAATGCTTCATTCATCTGTTAATTAACACTTTAGTATGTTTTGCCCTTCCTTTGAAAGATCTTAAAAGAAACGGACTGATGGCTGTTTTTTGTGTTCAGATTACTTTCAAAACAGAATCGTCTTACCATGACACGAAATGCTGTATGGGCTCTATCCAACCTCTGCAGAGGGAAGAATCCTCCTCCTGACTTTGCCAAGGTAAGAAACAAAACATGAAAGAAAACAAGAGAATGAGAGGTTGAGGCATGGTGCCCAAAAAAGGGAGGAGGAAGGAACTGAGATGTTTAAATTAAACAAAAAAATCCACAGAAATAGTTAGGAATTCAGAAGTCTTCCTGAATGTGCTTATTGTAGCTGAGAAGTATATAGCTGAATATAGTATATTGTAGCTGAGAAGTATCTCAGCTCAGATTGGTAGCTTTGAAGATGTGTGGAATTTTTGGGGAATTTTTTTTTTTGATCTGCAGAATCTTTTGCACTTGATGAAGTCTCGTCTTGTCTGTCCAGGTGCTAACTCCTGGGAACAGACACCACACGTACAGCATGCAACTAGTTTGACAACCAAGGAGCAATTGATAGTGCTCTACATGGCAGTCAAAGGCCCATTGGCCTGCCTAGGACACTGTTCCAAGTAATGTGTATTGGCAGGCTGCAGGGTTGCTCGGTCTAATGTTTTTGGGGATTATTGCCATTTCCATGAGCAATAACATATGTTCAATGGAGGAGGGTGTGGGGCTTCAGATGTATATATGCAAGACCTCATTCTAGTGCAGGGATGTCCAACTCATGAGGTTTTATGGGCTGGATGAATGGCATGGGGCTGGTGAACAGCCCAGATAAATGGAGCAGGGCCAGTCCATGGGGCCGATCAGGCCCGCAGACTGGCCCTGCATGCAGGATCCAATGCACAGGGCTACAGTACCATGAGCACTGCATTCAGTGTGCACCCCAGACTGGCCCTATGTGCAGTATGTGCATTGAACTAGCTGTGCATCCATCCCGACCTGCGTACCACATAGGGCCGATCCAGTGATTGTGCCCTGTGTGGTATGTCCGAGACATGGGATGGTGTTCCAAGACAATGGATTGCTAGGAAGAGATGGGATCCATCTGATGAAGTGAGGGAAGAGCATCTTTGCAGACCGGCTCACTAACTTGGTGAGGAGGGCATTAAACTAGGCTTGCCAGGGGAAGGAGACCAAAGCTCTGAGATATGTGGGGAAGCAGGTGACCTTGAGGTAGCACAAGCAGGAGGGGGCAACAGGGGAGGCCGTCTCATTCATCCTGAGAAAGTAGGGCGGTTAGTTAGTTACCTCAGATGTCTTTTCATGAATGTATGGAGCCTGGGAAACAAGCAAGAAGAATTAGAAGTCCTCATACAATCATCGAGCTATGACATCATTGGAATAACAGAGACTTGGTGGGCTAGCTTGCATGACCCAGCTGTGACAGTTCTCCAGTATAAAGTGTTCAGGAACAACAGGCAGGGGAGAAGAGGACTTGCTCTTTATGTAAATCAGCTGTATGATTGCTCAGAGCTCCAGTATGACACTAGAGATAGGCCGGTTGAAAGTCTTTGGGTTAGCAGAGGGGAGAGTAATAAGGTGACGTTGTGGTGAGGGTCTGCCATCGACCACCAGACCAGGAGGATGAGGTGGATAAGGCTTTCTTCAAACAGCCAGTGAAAGTTTCAACATTATAGGACATGGTTCTCATGGGGGACTTCAGTCACCCTGACATCTGTTAGGAGGGTCATACAGCAATGCACAGGCAATCCAGGAAGTTTTTGGAGAATGTTGGGGACAACTTCCTGGTGCAAGTGTTGGAGAGGCCAGCTAGGGGCTGTGCTCTCCTTGACCTGCTGTTCACAGACAGGGAAGAACTGGTGGGGAATGTAGAAGTGGGTGTCAACTTGGGCAGCAGCAACTGTGAGATGTATGAGTTCAGGATCCTGAGGAAAGGAAGGAAGAAGAGCAGCAGAGTAAGGACCCTGGACTTCAGAAAAGCAGACTCAATTCACTCAGGGAGCTGATAGGCAGGATCCCTTGGGAGGCTAGTGTGAGGGAAAGGAGTGCAGCAGAGATGTTATACTTCAAAAAACCCCCAAAAACAAAAAAACCCACCTTACTGAGGGGGCAGGGAACTAGCTGTGGAGTGGGGGGAGGGCTGCCAGGTCCCTATGCAAACTAGACCCAACAATTGGGGATCTCTGTAAATCGCAGGGGAAGTGCTTCCAGCAGCTGCTCCTTTAATTTTTTTTCATTTTGCTGCTTACCCTGCCCTGACCCTGATTGGTGGAGGGGCCCTGCCTGGCAGGCCACTTGCTGCTGATTACTGGGAAAGTGAAAACCACTGTTTTAAATGTGCTGTGGTTTTTTCTCCCCTCTGCTGATTGGGAGAGGGGCTCCGGTGGCCCCACCACTTGCTGTTGACTGGCAGGGAGGCAAAAACCATGGCATATTTAGAACTTTTGTTTTCATTTCTGGGAGATCTGCAGCAAACAGCTCAGCTGGTGGGGCCCCTTTGCTGATCAGGGCCTGGGGAAAGCAGTGAAATGAAAAAAAAAATAAAGGAGCTGCTGCAGAGAGCACTTCCTCTGCAATTTATGGAGATCCCTACCAATGATGTTTTACTGACCTATCCAGCAGCTAAGGCACTTGACCACTATTAGTACTAAGCCAGTCTGAGTGAAACAAAAATAACAGCATGGACTCAAGTATCATTGCACTAGAGCAGGGGTATCAAAAACATGGCCTGCAGAGACCTATCATCCAGTCTGCAGTGCTGTTTATGAATAACAGAAACATAGAAAACTGGGGTTGGAAAGGACCTCAGGAAGTCATTTAATCCAACCCCCTACTCAAAGTGGGACCATCCCCAACTAGATCATCCCAGCCAAGGCTTTGCCTGCCCTGGTCTTAAAAACCTCCCAAGGATGGAGATTCCACAGCCTCTCTGGGTAACCTGTTCCTGTGCTTTAGTACCCACCTAGTGAGAGTGTCTTTTTTTCAACATCCAACCTAAACTTCCCTTGCTGAAACTTGAGCCCATTGCTCTTTATTCTGTCATCTGCCACCACTGAGAACAGTCTAGCCTCCATCCTTCAGGTAGTTAAAGTTTGCTATTAAACCCCCAGACTTTTCTCCAGACTAAATAAGCCCAATGCCCTCAGCCTCTCCTCAGAAGTCATGTTCCCAAGCCCCTAAACATTTTTGTTTTTCTCCACTGGAGTCTCCAATTTGTCCATATGCTTTCTGTAGTGAGAGGCCCAAAACTAGACACAGTACTCCAGATGTGGCCTCACCAGCACTGAATAGAGGGGAATAATCACTTCTCTTGATACGCTGGTAACATTCCTACTAGCGTAGCCCAGGATGCATTAGCATTCTTTGCAGCAAGCGCACAGTGTTGCAACATGAGTTGGATCATATCCAGATTATAGTCCACTGTAACCCCAGGTCCTTTTCTGAAAAAATTGACTAGCATATTCTGTATCTAATGCTGAGGGAATTGGCTGCCTTGTCATGTGTCATCTGATGCTCCCAGTCCCTCCAGTTATATGTGCTGCTGCATACGTGAACATGTCTTCATTTCTAATGTTGAAGGAAGACTTATTTCTGCTTCTCTGTGGAGCTGGAGCTTTTCATAAGAGCACTGATGTAGGTCCTTAATGATTCCTCAGGTCTTTCAGACTGCATACCAGTCCAGTGCCCTACAGAGTCAAGTGCAGGATGCTAGCTGATTTTGGACTTCTGCATTTCATAGACCACACATCTTTTTAATGTTTTGCAGGTTTCACCTTGTCTAAGTGTGCTTTCCTGGCTGCTTTTTGTCAATGACACAGATGTACTAGCTGATGCCTGCTGGGCCTTGTCATATTTGTCTGATGGACCTAATGATAAAATACAGGCAGTGATTGATGCAGGAGTGTGTAGAAGACTCGTGGAGCTGCTGATGTAAGAAATTAACTTAAAAGAATCGACTTGATTTCTTACTGTTACCCCTTTACCCTTTCTCTACAGTCCAACTTCCTGCAAAAGTAAACTTAAGTAGAGATTCTGCAATAGTAGAAAACAAACATGGTTCATTGGCCTTAATGCCAGCAGTATCAATAATTTTGATATGTATCTTTTAAAACTCTGTAAAAACAACAGTGAATGCATCTACACATGAAATTAAGGTGACACAATAAACTCTGGCTCGTGCTGAAGCCAAATTGCTCCCAGGTGCAGCATCTATACATGTGCCTGGGACAGCAGCAATTTGAGCTGAGATGGAACGAGCCCCCAGCTGGCTGGGCTGATGGGTCTCCATTTATGCCCCCGGTCACTGTCTACATGTGCGTTTCAGCACAGTAAAATACTCAAGACAGTCCTATCCCTGACAGTACTGTCCTACAGTGGAGTTAATTAATTTACTGTGTCCTAATACAAACACTCGTCTAGACTGTGATGCTTTACTGCGGAGCTAATTAGTTAACTGTCCAGTAAAGTGCGTGTGTAGATGCGCCCACTGAGACACAGCTGAGTTTTTATATTATATTAAATATATGACATTTTATACTGGAGCTCAGGGCCATCCCTGGTGGGGGCGAATTGGGGCAACTGCTGGGGACCCTGCAGAGCAGATCAGAGCAGAAAGGCCGTGGCTGTAGTTTAGCCCACCCACCCGCCTGGTGGGTTGAACGGCTCTTTGCTTGTTCCAGCCAGAAGTTCCAACTGCCACCCATCCCACTGCATCCGGTGTGCCAGGGCTTTCACTCCTCAGCATAAATGCTGTGGGATGGGGAGGGGTGCCTCGCGCAAGCCGCTTTGCCCCGGGCCCTGCTAGGATCATCTGTGCTGAAGCTACAAAAGTGGGCTTTGTCATTTTGGTTTATGCATATGGTCTATGTGTATCTTAGGAAGCTGTTATTGCTAAATAAACAGTACATAGCTACATTAATGCAAAATCCTACAATATGTTTAAAAGGAAGGAAGGAAAAAAACCTAGAATATACAATTACCTTCATTTACCAGCTTGTGTGTATTAAACAGACTCAAGCAGTATTAAACAGAATTAATGATCACTTATTTTAAAAAAAAATGAAAAACACAGAAAATTATTGAAAAATACTCTATTTCTTTTCTTAAGTTATCTGTTTTCTCATCACTAGAGGAAACACTATCCCATTTTGATCTTTAATAAAATGCTGTTATCGATCAGTTACAAATATAGGAAATGCGATCTCTTGCTAGTTAAATTTTATCTTAGAGATTGTATTGATTTCTCAGCATCAGTGAATCTTGCTATGTAATCATTAAGTGATGATTTTTATATTTACTAGAATTTTCCCTTTCATGTTAAGGGCCACGTTGCCATTTTCTAGTGATGGACTCGCTTTAAAATGTTTATAAAAGAATATATGGCCAGTTGTCAAATTGCTATAAGAAATTGACTGTTTCAGTCAATCCCTGTTGAATCCCTTTTATTTTAAGGTAAATTTTGTTAAAGGAAGAACACTTGGCTTGTCAGCAGCTAGCAACAAAATAACAGCCATGAGAGGTGTTTTTTGTTTGCTTGAAGGAATTTGTCAGGAGTCAAAGTTGGAGGAATACTTTTCCTATGGAAAAGAATGTAGTTTTTTTCATTTTCAAAACCACAACATTTTAAGGGGATGTGGTTAAATTAAATCTGATGCCCAATTTTTTCTGTAATAGAAGAGACTTGTAAGAGTCTCATTTTTTATAACAGAAAATTATGAAGGATTTTTCTTTCATTTTTTCTTAGTTTATTTTCTTTATTTGGCAGAAGTTAGTGTGTAATCAGTTTTATTGATTCCATTATATAGGCAGTAAGTTACTTGACCATGCAATGGATTTCTCAGCACTGCAAGTGAGAAAAACAGTGCACAAAATTAAAGCAAAAAGCCACAGAAACTGTTCATCAAATCTAAAACATTAAAAAGCCCCTAGAGGACCCTAAAAAGAAGTACCCATAGTTTCGAATCCAAACTTAGAGATACCTTTTATGACTTCAGTCGTGTCACTCTGTCTTGTTGAGGAAACTCTCCTTTGGCCAGTAAGGAGTCTTGGTAGGTCCTGATTGAAAGGATGGGGCTGCAAAATTGTCTTGGGCTGTTACCTCTTTCCTTGTATTTTTTAGGCACAGTGATTACAAAGTGGTATCTCCTGCCTTACGAGCAGTTGGGAACATTGTGACTGGGGATGACATCCAGACCCAGGTATAGACTCCATTGTTTTGGGTTGTAATTCTGTTTGCCTTTTTGGTTAATGGGATAATTCATAAGCCTCTAAATTGTTTTTTTTGTTTTGCTTATTACACCATTGTATTTTCTGTTTCTCACCAATATGAGAGTGGTGTCATTGGTTGTAGCCAAGCATGTCACTTTCATGCTGCACTTCAGTCCTGACCTACAGCTCCCAGGATGAATTTCTACACAGTCATGCTGATATACTAGTCAATCTTGACATTCAACACTTGCGAGTATTCCTTTTCTGATTCTGTCCCAAGCAAAGACTAGCTGTTACGCTGAATCTTGTACTGGCTTTATGCTGTGGCCTTCTTACCTCTATAGTCTAGTTCAGATTGTCCAGCTGCATGCACCCGGCAAGGGGTTAATTTGCAGGGGGTGGGGGGAGTTCCCACCTGGCTGCTCCTCCCCACATTGCAGCAGCAACCAGGGGCTCAAGGCACCTTCTACGGATTTCCACTTCCTGTCCCTGCCCCAGGAGCCCATGGCAATGTGGTTCAGCTGGGGGGCTGAAGATGGAGGCCAGGGTGTCTTGGTGGAACAGTGCTGCAGGAATTGCATGTGCAGTGTGCAGACCTTACTGGTGTGACCCATCTGGTGTGCAGCCCCCAGCTGCTTAGAAGTTTTTATAGTCCTGGCCTAGTTGAAAGTATTAATATTTACTTTCTAATCTTTGCCAGAGTTGAAACTCAGCTTCCTAGCCCACAGTTCAGTTTAACACTTACCATATGTTATTATGCATGGGACTTTCTTTTGTAACCTTTAATCCGGTTAGATTCATATTGGGTAAGAAGATTGGTGAGTAACAACTAGATGTTCTCTGCTTATATTCTTCATTATGAGAGAGATTTGTTTGTATGCATTTTCTAATCTTGCTTTTTATGTTCTGTTGCTGAGAGCTACATTAGCACCATGTGCTTTATCACTTGTTTCGATGGCATGTAAATTTGCCATAAAATTATTTTGAGATCAGGTTTAATATACATGATTCCTTAGTTTCATAGAAATTAAGGTCAAAAGAGAGAAGTAGTCCATCTCATTTGAACTCCTATTATATTCCAGGTCACTAAATATCATGCAAATTTCCCAGAAATGTCAGTTATAGCATCATATGAAAGTAGTGCTGGAAGGGACCTGGCAAGATCATCCCTGACTAAACTATCCCAATCAAGTGTCTCTCTAACCTGCTGTTAAAAACTTCCAATAATGGAGATTCCACAATTTCTCTAAGTAGCCTGTTCCAGTGTTCCAGCCTGTTCCACCCTCATTCTCAGAAAGTTCCTCCTAATCTCCAACCTAAATTTCCTTTGCTGTAGTTTGAGGCCCCTACAGCTACAGAGAAAAGCCCACCTCTGTCCCTTCTGTAATCATACTTCAGGGTGATCAAATACCCCTTAAGCCTTCTCTCCTCCGAACTAAATAATCCTAGTTCTTTCAGTCTTTCCTTATAAGTCTTGCCTCCCAGCCCCCTAGTCATCTTGCTATGTGTTGGGCTCTTTCTAAGCTGTTCACATCCTCTTTGATGTGTGGGGTGAAAAACTAGATACAGTACCACAGGTGAGGCTTCACCACTGCTAAATAGAGTGGAAGAATCACTGCCCTTGATTTGCAAGTGCTGCTTCCATTAGTACAATCTAGAATGCTTGTTGGCTTTTTTGCAACAAGAGCACACTGTTGGCTCATATTTAGCTTATGGTCTACTTCAGGGATGCTCAACCTCCAGCCTATGGTGCAGCCCACAAAGCTGGAGCGAATGGCTTGTCACGGCACATCAGCATAGGTGAATGCTTCCGCTGCTTTCTCTCTCCTTTCCCCTGCTGATTATTCTGGGCATAATCTAACATGTTTTCTCTACCCTTTCCCCTAGGTAATTTTGAATTGTTCAGCCCTCCAGAGTTTACTGCATTTGCTAAGCAGCCCAAAGGAATCTATTAAAAAGGAGGCATGTTGGACAATATCTAACATAACAGCTGGAAACAGAGCCCAGATCCAGGTAACCCACACAACTATGGGTTTTGTCATCTGATCTTGGAGAAATGCCTATCAAATGGCATTCCATTTATATACTTTAAAATAGAGGTAGAAGGAGGCTGTGAGCCTTACACAGGTGAATGTTTAGATAACCCAGCCATCTCTGTAATAGAATTCAAATTCTTAAAGCTTAGTAACTTTATCAGGTTTCAGAAATAAAGGGTGAAGAGTTATGCCAGTGGTGAGGGCTGACTGGCTAACCCCAAGAAAACAGCTTTGCCACAGTTTGCCATGATTTCTCTTGTATCCTGTTTTTAATTACATATGGAGTTTTACATGTGTTCCATCTGCTGTTTATTTCTGCTGTTTTTGCTTCTCTGCCAGAGTCCTGAGGAAGGGTCTGTCTCCCACAAAAATCCTTGCCTCTGGCAACTTTGTTATACACAATCTGGGGAATAAAATCTAATCACCAAAAATAAAATTGTTTCATCTCCTCAACACCCAGTATAGTTAGGTCCTCCCAAACAAGAAAGGAATGCTTTCACCCTTCTAATTTACTGAACATAATGATAACCAGATTTTTTTAAACACACACAATCCTCTGTTTTCAGTACTAAACCTGGTAGTTGATTCTGTAAAACACTTAATAAATTTTCTTAGATTTCACACCAGTGAACCATTTTACCTAGTTTAGGTTGTCCAAATTCAAAACAGTTGTTACCAGGATAGTCTCTTTGAGGAGACCACCCCCATAACCATCAGCTTTTCTAGTCTCTCTGTCTTCAGTGCTAGAGAATATAGGAGTAGACAGCAATTTCAGTCCCCTGTACATCAGTCTTTGCACTGGAATTCCCTTGCCATGGCAGACCAGACAGACCAGATCCTCATAGCTTGGATTTTTGGCCCTCTCTTAGACCAGTGGTCTTCAACCTTTTTAGACTCCAAGGACCCTTTGGACATTGTCACATCTTGGCTTTCTACTACAGAAAAATAATAGAGCAATTGTTTTTTTGCAAAGGACTCAGAAAGACCACAGCAGGTCAAAATGTTTTTGACACCATGGATTCCTATTTGAAATAGGACTTAATCTCTGGGTTTATCTTGTGACTCATGTGTAAGTGTTTGCACACCTTACACTGCTAATATTGCACAACAGCCTTACAAGAATTTCACAGCACCCCAGCGTGCCATCACTTGCTTAGGTGGTAGAACTCCTAGAATTCTTTGACTCCATATGGCAGACTGCAGACCAACCTTTGTAGCAGTTTCACAGACTTTCAGGAGATGTTTAACTAAATATTTTTTTCTTCATTGGCTGTGTGGTTTTCCCTTCAAAACTGATAGGGCTCCATGTCTTTGTTTTTATTTGACTTTGTGGGAGATTTGGAAGGACACCATTTCGCTTCCTTGTGTTCCCCCTCAGAAACAGCAGGCTGAATTGAAAATAACTCCTGCCTGACCAACACTAAGACTGAACAGACTGACAGAAGTTCCCTTCACTGAGTTAGAATAAGTTATATGGCTCTAAAGCCCTCTCCTTTCCCATTCTCACTCTCCTTCCTCCCAGCATACGCTTATACATAGGACCCATATTTCCACAGCTTCTAGAAAACTCAGGAAAGTTTAACTAAATCACTCGGGAAGGTGAGGTCATCCCTGGAACTGAAAGAAGAAACACCAGCTCCTAGTCGATATGAAGGCAAGATCCATGCAGTAATGAATGAGAACTGGAAAGCAGTCCTCAAGTCTTTCTCTGCCATAAAAGATGACACATCCTGCAGCCCTTCTAATACAGATGAAGCATTTGTGTTCAGTGGCTCTGGTTAATTTATCCCAGTGGTCTCCAACTTCTTTAAGGTGAAGAAGTTGGAGATGACTTTTTGAAGTAAAGGCAATCCAGGATCTATTGCACCCCCCACACCCCACCACCCTGCTCAGCAGGTCAGTCTGGGGCAGCCTGGGGGGGCAGATCGAGGCCCCCACAGTGAAGGAGGGAGTGGGGCAGGGGCAGGGGTGAGTGGGGCCCTGACCAGGCAGGTGGGTTGGGCTGGGGGAGAGTTGGAGCCTGGGTGGCTTGTGCAGGTGGGCTTCCGGCAGAGGGCTGGAGGGCATGTGCCCCCCTGATCTGTGTGCGGGGTGAGGCGGCTGCTGCTGTGCGCTGGGCTTTGTGCCCCAAGCTATCAGGGCTTCGACCTGGCCTGACCAGGGCCCCACTCACCCACAAGAGAAGGTTGAGAGGTGACCTTGTGGCTGCCTATAAGTTCATCATGGGGGCACAGAAGGAAATTGGTGAGGCTTTACTCACCAAGGCGCCCCTGGGGTTTACAAGAAATAATGACCATAAACTAGCAGAGAGCAGATTTAGACTAGACATTAGGAAGAACTTCACAGTTAGAGTGGCCGAAGTCTGGAATGGGCTCCCAAGGGAGGTGGTGCTCTCCCCTACCCTGGGGGTCTTCAAGAGGAGGTTAGATAG